CGCCGACTCGCTCAAGAATGAACCCCCGACATTCTTTGGAGCGCGTTCTGAGATTTCGAAGCAGATCCAGCCAGCCGTGGCGACAAGGGGGCTCTCCGAAGGCCCAGAGGCAGGAAAGGAAGGTCCCCGAAGGCTCTGGAGGTCACCAAAGGTCATTGGAGATGACCAGAGGTCGGTCAGCCGGGCGTCGCAGGATCCTGCACCCACCCCTGGGCCAGTGCACGCTGGCTCGGCAGGATCCCGCGAGAGCCGACGCTCTGACTGACCCCCCCCGTGTGCACCGAACCCCGTCTCTTGGGCCCCGAGAAAGCGAGGCGAGCTGAGCACCGCCATCGCGGTCGTGAGCGAGGTGTCATCGACGGCGAGGGCGGGCAGGGCCGCCGCCGCGGGCGCCAGCCCGGCGGCCGCGGCCGCGGCGGCGCCGGGGCCCTGCGCGGGCGGCACGAACACCGGCTGCAGGCAGACGCGGGCCGCCAGCGCGCACGCCGCGGCGAGCACGACCAGCTTCAGGGCGCTGCCATGGGAGCGAGCCATGTCCGCTGCCGTGCAGGGGCGCCAGCCACCGCCCTCCCTCGGCGGCGAGCCCGGGGGGGGGGGGCAGGGCACGGAGGGGGCGGGCCTGCGCGCAGAGGGCTCGGAGGGCCTCGGGCCCTCCGAGCAGCTCTCGGAGCCTTCTCCGAGGACGGCGGCGGCTTCTCAGAGGCCAGGAGGCTTCCGAGGAGCCCCGCCGCCTCCTGCGGAGGCCTGTCCGCTCTCGCGTCCCCCCCCCGGAGACGCGCCAACACCCTCACAGCCCCGGAGACGCGGGCGGGGCCGGAGACGCGATCGAGGCTCTGGGCCCCGCCTGCCGTGGTCGGTGGGCGGGCGGAGGAGCTCGCCCCGGGACCAGCAGAAGTCAGCTCCCGGGCAATGAAGGGGCCCAGGGGCACACAAATAAATACACACCAATCCCAAGATTCCCCAAATTTTCTCGAAATCTACTGATCTCCGTCTTCCCCCACCACTCCCATAGTTTCCCATACTATCCTGGGGATCCACGATTAGTGGTGTCTGTGTGTGTGTGTGTTTCCCCTCCTGGGACAAGCACGTGTGAGCCCAGCCCCGGGTGGGTCGGACTTCTGAAGCGCCGGCTGGGGCTCAGAATTCGAAGGACGTCTGCAGCAAGGAGAGCCCCAGCGGGGGTGTCTGACGTGCCCCGGGGGGCGCCGCCGGGACCCGCAGGGGCAGGGTTCGCATCGAGGGAACGTCCTGGAAGACGACGACGACGACGACGACGACGACGACGACGACGACGACGACGACCACGACCACGACCACGACCACGACCACGACCACGACCACGACCACGACCACGACCACGACCACGACCACGACCACGACCACGACCACGACCACGACCACGACGACGACGACGACGACGACGACGACGACGACGACGACGACGACGACGACGACGACGACGACGACGACTACGACGGCGGTCCGCAGAGCCCTGGGGTCAGCATGGCTCCCAAGGCGGGGCCCAGGAGAGCGGAGGAGGAGGAGGTGGGACGAGGAGGAAGAAGAGGAGGATGAGGAGGACGGAGGAGGAGGAGGAGGCGGAGGAGGAGGAGGGGCCGACCTCGAGCCGATCTTCTGGGGCGGGGCGCCCTGCCCTCGCGGCACGCCTTGGCGCCCGAGGCGCGCGGGGCAGCGCGTTGCTCCTCGCGCCGCCCGCGCCGCCCGCCGCCCCTGCACGCGACGCTAAATCGCCGCGAATCGACGCTGAAATCGACGCTGATCTCATCGGTGGCCGGCGCTAAATTGGCGCTTTGTCTCATCGACGCTCAGACGCTGATCGACGCTAAGCGACGCTAAAGACGGAATTGAAGAGGGTAGGCCAGGCTCCCATGATTTGCTTCCGAACGGGCGTCGCCGAAGGGTGAACTCAGGATCGATCCTCGGACGCCACGTAGTGGCAATCCCAGCCCGTTGTTCGAGCTGCGTTTCCCCGTGGCCACGGGGGGGGCCCCAGCAGGCCAAAGAAGGGCAGGGGCAGGTGCCTCGGTCCTCGTCTTGACATCAGCACGGACGAGGCCGTCCACGGCGACGGCACGACCGAAGTCGACCGAACCGACAGCGAAATCGGTGCCGACCTGAACCAACAGGCCGCAGGCAGCCTAGCCGTGGTCTGCGACGCAGCAGCGTACAACAGCCGACCGAGCCCGCACCGACGGAGCGCAGCCGCCTGCGACGCAGCCGTGCCGACCGAGCCTCGGACGCCCTCGACAGCCGCATCGAGGACGATCCACGTGCGCCGGCCGATCCTGGCCGTGCCCAGCCTCCTCCTCTTCTTCATCCTTCCTCCTCCTCCTCCTCCTCCTCCTCCTTTTCCTCCTCCTTCCTCCTCCTCCTCCTCCTCCTCCTCCTCCTCCTTCTCCTCCTCCTCCTCCTCCTCCTCCTCCTCCTCCTCCTCCTCCTCCTCATTTTCCTCCTGCTCCTCCCCCTCTCGGCCCGGCCAGGGGTCGGCGCTGCACCTCTGGATGGCTGGCGCCCCCCCGAGCGCGGGGCAGGCGCGGAGGCGCCGAGGGAGAGAGCGCTGGAAAACCGGCGAGGGCCAAAACGGCTTGCGGGGGGCGGAGGGGCAGCAGGATGGCTGTGCAGCTGCTGCCGAGGGGGAGGACGAGGAATCTTGGGAGCGGAGAAAGACGGGGACAGAGAGAGAGAGAGAGACGGAAAGAGAGAGATGGAGAGAACACAAAAAAGAGTGACAGGGACACAAACGTATAGAGAGAGGGATAGGGAGAGGGATAAGGATAGAGGGAAAATCCGATAGAGAGAGAGAGAGAGAGAGCCAAAACAAGAGCAGACAGACTGACGGACTGGCATAGAGGGAGTAGGAGGAGAAGGAGGAGGAGGAAGAGAAAAAGTCCGAGCGGGAGCAGAAGGACGAAGAAGGGGGACCTGAGTAAACCCAGGGTGCATCAACGATACTGCAGGACATCCTCCCGTCCGAATTCCCTCCTCAGAAAACCCACAAGCCTTCCTGTTCACTGCGAGGGGCGCCCCTCTAAACGACAAGCAAACCTATGGGCCAGCTGAGATGACGAGATCCATGTTGAAAAAGAACCGTCTCACGTCCTCTGGTGAATTGTGAGGAACGCGCAAAGGTAAGATCATAGAGTTCAACGTCATGCCCAGGGACAGCTGCGCATTGAAAAGGAGCCGCCCCCGTCCGTGTAACTGTTGCACCAGTGTGAGCATATGGTGATGAGATCGCAGCAAGTCTCGAGAGACAGCCACGTGTTGAAAACCAAACCCTTGCAACTGGTGCAAGTTAGTAAAACGAGTGCGCAGGCGCTGAAGAAATAGCCCCATGACGAAAATAGCCCGCCCTCAATTATTATAACTGCTATGTACTTTCACGACTTCTCTACGCGACACTTCTGCGAGAGCCCCATTTAAATGGTAGCAAGTTTTTACGGAGAATGTGCACGTCGCTGAGGCGAGAACCACACTGAGAAAGGGGTTTCGCAAAACCCAGTTTCAGGATCATAAATGGCGAGGACGTCTCAAGCGGTACACTTGGACTACCCTACCAGCACACATGGGGGTGCGACACGGACGAGGTCTCTACAAGAGTACAGGATAAAGAAAAAAGGAGGGGGAGGGACAACGCTCAGGAGGGGGAGAGGCAGGAGGCCTCCGAGCATGGTTTTCTCCATCCCTCCTCCTTCCTTCCCATACCTCCCTTGTCTCAACCGCCGCTTGGCGTGGAGGTGGTTCCCTCATCACATTGTCTGTGTCTTTCTCTCTCATTCTCTCTTTCTCTCTTCTTGCCTCCCACCTGCGACGCCACTTGACGTTGAGGCGTTCTCTCCCCCTCTGCCCTTAGCTTCGGCCAGCCCGCCGCTATGAGGCCGCGGACGTCCGGCGAGGCAAAGGCAGACCGCTCCTCCTCCGTTTTCCGTCCTGTATCCTTTGCCTCCTCCTCCTCACACTTTCTCACCCCCTCTCGGCCATAATTCCCTGACCCTCCCTCTTCACACGCACAAATCGCGGGACGGTTCCGAGCTCCTGGCGGTGATGTGAGGCCAGTCTCCCCAGACTCCCCAGGGGCGGCCGGCTGCTCTGGCCACGGCGTCATTGAGGCGGCTCCCAAAACTAAGAAACTAGACGATATCTACTCGCATATATCACCCTAAGCCTCGAGCCGGACCGGCGGCAAGGCGAAGCCTTCAAACAAGGCGAGCGAAAGACCCCTAACAGCGGGGGAGGGAACGGGGGAAGAAGGACCCCAAGGAGGCCTGGAGGCCTCCGACGAGGGGAGGGGGCCCCGAGAGGCCCAGGCGGAAAGGAGAGGGGAGGAGAAACACTGTTCGGGGCACGCTATCTTCAGCAGCGGACGGGCCGCCGCACGACACACTCCGTACGATCTGCAGCCTCGTCTGCCAGCCCGCCCGCACCTTTGGGCGGGCGTCAAAAGGGGTGGGCAGAACGCATGTTCCATGAAGGGTGGGCGTTAAAGAGAAGGGCCAAAAAGGGCTACAGCCGAAGGTGATGGCCAGCGACAACAGCACCCCCCTTCGTTTCTCCCAGCCCCTCAAACACCACGGTCTAACAAATGAGTGTACTTACCTACACGTTATTGAGGCGGCTCCCAAAACTAAGAAACTAGACGATATATACTCGTATATATCACCCTAAACCTCGGGCCCGACCAGCGGCAAAGCGAAGCCTTCAAACAAGGCGAGCGAGAGACCCGGAGCGGGGGAGGAAGGACCCCGAGGAGGCTCGGGCACAGGCCCCGACGAGGGGGGGAGGCCCCGAGAGGAGAGCGGAGGAGAAACACTGTTCGGGGCACGCTATCTTCAGCAGCGGACTGCCCCCCAGCAGTAGGGTTTCTTCGGGGCCTCGTCGATGGGCGCGTGGGCAACCGAGTCGGAGTTCCCCTTGGGCGGCAGGCGCCCCCCGACTGGATAGGCGCGGGCCCTAGGGGCGCAGGCGCTGATTCCTGCGCCGCGGCCCTCACTTGGGGCCTTCAGCGCCTTGCGGGTGAGGCACCACAGCGCGCGGCTGCGTTGCCGCTCGAGATGGACAAGGATGGTCTTCCGGAACCAGGCCTCATCCAGGTCCAGCTTGGAGAGTGGGCATGCGCAGTAGAGGGTTGCCCTCGCTGTCGGGCGAGAGCGCCATGTACTCGAGCTGTTCCTTGCGCGACCACTCCCAGCCAAAGAGCCGCAGCAGCTGCCGGTAGACGTCCTTGATGCCCCCCCTCCATCGCCAGTTGAGCTCCTCGAACTGGCCGCACACCTTCTCGCCTGGAAACACGTCCGAGTCCTCCTCCACCAGCTTCACAAGCTTCTCGTCGGCGTCGATCCTCTCCTGGCGGTGCCCCAGCCATAGACCAGGGCGAAGCAGCGCGAGTGATTCTGTGCCTGCTTGACCCACTGCGCCAAGGTAGCCGACGAGCGTGGGCGGGGCTCCAGCTCGTCGTTCTGCAGGACGACGCGGGCGTCGCGCCCCCCCTGGGAATGCTTCACGAAGTCCTCCACGCCGCGGTAGCGCGGGAGGACGGAGCGCTGGTCACGCGCCCCGAAGAAGAGGCCTGCCAGCCCGAGGGCCATCCGCGCGCCGACGCAGGTAGGCCAGCCCAGCCCATCCAGCTCTCCTCTCGAAGTGACGAGAACCTCCTTGATGGCCTGGTAGAGGGACGCCCTGGCGTATGTGGCGCAGACCTGCACGTTCGAGCGGTCGCAGGTCCTGGCCAGGGAGACGATGGCGGTCTCCTCGCGGCCGAGCCCCTGCGGCGCGCCTTCAAGCCCTTGGACTCGCTGTTGTGCGCGACGAGGCTCTCGATACCCAGGCCGATGTCTTTCAAGGCAGCTGCGATCTCTCCGTCACCTGCGGGGCCGACCCCCCCCCCCACGCCGGCCCGGCGCTCGCCTGGCGGGGCGCGGCGCGTCCCGATCGTGAGGGTCGGGCCGACGAAGTGCCGGTAGATTCCCTCGCATCCCCACACGAGCTGCGGCGCGGGGGGGGGGGGTCAAGGTTGGCCGGCCGGGCCCGCGCCGCCCCGCCCCGCGGGGTCGGGCCAGCACCGCCGAGCCCCCAGCGGGGGGCGCCGCCACCGCAGGGGCGGGCGACCGACGCGGCGAAGCCCGGCGGCTCCAGGGCTGGCGCGGCGGGGGCGGCAGGCGCGGCCAGCGAGAGCCCGCTGGGCGGGGCGGCACCTCCTCCCCGCGACGCTCGGCCCCCTGGTAACCCGAGCGCAGGGTGCGCAGCTGCCGGCGCCATTCAGCCTCGAGGCCCTGGAGGCCGCGTCCGCCGTCGTTGCCGCACCCCTCGGCGACTTCGGGAGGAACCTCAGGACGTCCGCGGTCTGGTCCCATGCGTATCTGTTCAGCAACCTCCCCCAGGCGCCCGCGTCGCCCCCCTCGGGGTAGCGTCCGGGGCCCCGCAGGTGCTCCCTCAGGCACTCGGCGGCACTCGGCGGGCTCGGAACGATGCCCGCGAGGGGCGCCTCGACCCCGTCGAGCCGAGCCACGAGGTCGGAGAGGGCAAGCCGCTCGACGCCCCTGGCGACCCCGCGCCGCGGCGCCGAATACGAGGCGCGGGACGGGGCGCGACGCGGGGGGCGGGGTCGCCTCGTCCGCGGCTCGGTCGGCGGGCCCGCGACGAGCCATGGCCGCTGCGAGCGCTGCATCGGGGGCCCCCTGCAGCGCCTGGGCCCCCCCCTTCTCTCCTGCTGGTCCGCCTCGAAGTGGGCCTTGCAGAGGAGGGCGCCATCACGCCTCGCGAAGCCCGATGTGTTGCAACCCCCGCCTTGGCGCAGGCGGGCCCGCCTCAGCCAGTGGTAGAGGGCCGCGTGGGGGGGGCAGCGCGGGGCTCCGCCCGTCGCGCCTCCTGAGGTCATGGGGCTCACCTTCGCATCGTCAACCAGCAGCGTCGTGCTCTCCTCCAGCGCCTTGTCGCCGCACTGCACCAGCGGCGCAAGGAGGGTGATCTGGCCCGTCCCGCTCTCGCGCCAGCCGACCCGATGCGCCACGCAGGGCATGCCCTCGTCCTCTGTCCCCGACTCGTCGCGCGGCTTCGGGTCGCCCGTCCTCGGCGCCCGCTGGCGCCGTCGCCCGCGGCGCCCGCAGCTGGCATGGCAGCAGCAGCAGCCTCCGGCGCAGAAGAAACGACCAGAGACACCCAGGCACCCCTGCCAGCCCGCGGGAGGTCCGCAGGCAGCACAAGCCCAGCGGCGCGCGCCCCACCAGCTCGTCGAGGTCGACCACAGCGTCTGCGGCGACCACGGCGTAGAACCCAGCGGCTCACACTCCTGGCAGGGGCCCGCCTTCCGGCAGAGGTGGAGGCGTTTGGTGGTCGCTTTCTCGAGATCCTTCCTCGGCCTCCTCGACGTCGCGCCGTACACCACCTCACAGTCCACTATGAGGCCATGGGCGTTAGTCTGGGCATCGCTCCAGCGCAGGGCCACACGCGCGATCTGTCCGTCGACCGCGAAGACCACATGTCGCGCGCTACCCGCGCGGAGCGCGGCCCTCCAGCCCCTGTAGAAGTTGGTCGGCGGTTCCTTCCCCAGGCCCAGCCCGCACAGCTACACCTGCTGCGGTTCCTTGTTCAGCTGGTCGGCCGTCTTCACCGCGATCGTCTTGTTGCGGTCGGGCCCGCAGCAGCGCTGCTTACACCACGCGAGGAAGCCGCACAAGGGGACGCACACTCTCTGGATCACCTCCGTGACCCAGGCGCACAGGATCAGGACGACAAGCAGCATCCCGAAGGTGACCCGCGCCCCCAGCACAAAGGAGGCCCAGGACGGGCCGAACAGGAAGCGCCCGATCGCACGGATTGGGCTCTGCATGTAGCCTCCTTCGTCCACCCGTCGGCTCCACGACGAGGAAGAAGCTGGCGACGAACCGGTACCCTACGACGAAGATGCCCGGGAACTCCTCCGCCTCCGGCTCGTCGTCGTCAGCCCTGTCGCTGCAAGTGCCGCGCTCCCCCCAGGCGGGCGCAGCGCCGTGGGCCGTCGTAGAGGGCTCCGCTGGCGTTGGCGACCGAGCCGTCATGGCCGGCGCCGTCGCCCGGGCGGCTCCCGCCAAGGAGGGGGGGAGGAGGAGGAGGAGGAAGAGGAAGAGGAGGAGGAGAAGAGGGAGGAGGGGGAGGAGGAAGAGGAAGAGGAGGAGGAGGAGGAGGAGGAGGAGGAGGAGGAGGAGGAGGAGGAGGAGGGGGAGTTGGAAAAGGAGGAGGAGTAGGAGGAGGAGGAGAGAGGAGGACGGGTCGCCTAAGCCCTTAGTAGAGAAACCCTCCACCTCCACTGTACAGCAACTGATATTCCTCGCACGGGCGAAGAGTGCCAACAGCAGCGGGCTGGGCCACACAGCGGGGGCACGTGCGCACCTGCCGCCCGCCGCCCCTGCCAGAACCCATTCCCTGCCAGCCTTAGGTCGGGCGTGTCCTCCTACAGGCAGACTATTGACGAAAAAACAAAAATTATCCTGGCGAAGGACCCAACCACATGCAATTGTGAGTACCGCAATTGTGAATATCTTCTTCGGTGGCGCTCCCTATGGGGCCACGAAACGTGTGAGGGGTGTGCCGAAATGGGTGTGCGGGACGCATGCGGGCACACCCACTGGGACCTTCGGTGGAGCTCCTTATGGGGCTTCGAAACGCGTGAGGGGTGTGCCGAAATGGGTGTGCGGGACGCATGCGGGCACACCCGCTGGGACCTTCGGTGGAGCCCCCTACGTGGCCACGAAACGTGCGAGGGGTGTGCCGAAATGGGCGTGCGGGACGCATGCGGGCACACCCACTGGGGCCTTCGGTGGAGCTCCTATGGGACCACGAAACGTGTGACGGGTCACGAAACGCGTGAGGGGTGTGCCGAAATGGGTGTGCGGGACGCATGCGGGCACACCCACTGGGGCCTTCGGCGGAGCTCCCTATGGGGCCACGAAACGTGTGAAGGGTATGCCGAAATGGGTGTGCGGGACGCATGCGGGCGGCAGCACTGGGACCTTCGGTGGAGCCCCCATACGGGGCCACGAAACGTGCGAGGGGTGTGCCGAAATTGGTGTGCGGGACGCATGCGGGCACATTCACTGCGGCCTTCGGTGGAGCTCCCTATGTGACCACGAAACGTGTGAGGGGTCACGAAATGCGTGAGGGGTGTGCCGAAACGGGTGTGCGGGACGCATGCGGGCACACCCACTGGGGCCTTCGGTGGAGCTCCCTATGGGGCCACGAAACGTGTGAAGGGTATGCCGAAATGGGTGTGCGGGACGCATGCGGGCACACCCACTGGGACCTTAGGCGGAGCTCCGTATGGGGCCACGAAACGCGTGAGGGGTGTGCCGAAATGGGTGTGCGGGACGCATGCGGGCGGCAGCACTGGGGCCTTCGGTGGAGCTCCCTATGGGGCCACGAAACCTGTGAGGGGTGTGCCGAAATGAATGTGCGGGACGCATGCGGGCACACCCACCGGGACCTTCGGTGGAGCTCCCTTTGGGGCCACGAAACGTGTGAGGGGTGTGCCGAATTGGGTGCGGGTGGTGACGCATGCGGCGGTGCCACTTGGGCCTTCGGTGGAGCTCCCTATGGGGCCACGAAACCTGTTGTTGTGAGGGGCGTGCCGGGATGGGTGGCGGGGACGCATGTGAGCGCGGCCGCTGGGGCCTTCGGTGGAGCTCCCTATGGGGCCACGAAACGTGTGAGGGGTGTGCCGAAATGGGTGTGCGGGACGCATGCGCACGTGAGCGCCGCCACTGGGGCCTTCGGTGGAGCTCCCTATGGGGCCAAACGCGTGAGGGGTGTGCCGAAATGGGCGTGCGGGACGCATGCGGGCACACCCACTGGGACCTTCGGTGGAGCCCCCTACGGCCACGAAACGTGTGACAAAAATGGGTGTGCGGGACGCATGCGGGCGGCAGCACTGGGGCCTTCGGTGGGGCTCCCTATGGGGCCACGAAACGTGTGAGGGGTGTGCCGAATTGGGTGTGCGGGACGCATGCGG